TGCTGCTACTGCTGCTACTGCTGCTGTTGCTGTTGCTACTGCTGCTGCTGCGGGTGCTGCTGGTGCTGGTGCTGGTGCTGTGCTGGTGCTCGGTGCTGGTGGCTGTGCTGGTGCTGTGCTGGTGTCGGTGCTGAGGTTGGTGCTGGTGGCTGGGGCTGGTGCTGGTGTGGTGGCTTGGTTGGCGCTGGCTGGGCTTGCTGCTGCTGGCTGCTGGGCTGCTGCTGCGGCTACTGCTACTGCTGCGGCTGCTTGCTGGCTTAACTGCCTGCTGACGTTGTGCGCTGTGGTGGTCAGTGGTGCTGGTGATGGCTGCTGTTGGTGGTGATGCTGCTGGCTGGCTTGCTAGTGCTGCTGGTGGCTGCTGCTACTGCTGCTGGTGGTGGTGCTGCTACGCTGCTGCTCGGTGGTGGTGGATGCTGACTGTTGCTGCTGTGTGGGTGCTGCTGCTGTGGCGTGTGGTGGTGCCTGCTGCTGCTGCTGGCTGCTACTGCTGCTGGTGTGTTGTGCTGTTGCTACTGGCTGGCTGACGATGACATAAACTTAGCCGTGATTGATTACAGAATTATTATCATATCAATCAACACGACTCAGTAATCATTTACATATTATGATTTAATCATTCAGGTAGATCAAGTAATATTATTAATTAATTATTTATGTATCAATCAGTAGGTACCATACACAAACACGGCCAGCAACTGGGAAATGTGTGTGTGTGTGTGTGTGCGTGCATGCGCGTGTCTAACCCTCAAATGTTTCTACGCTACATATTAGAAAAGTCAAATGTTTACGCTTACCAAACTCAGAATCCTCTCGCTTGTCGAAGAAGAGTTTATTACCGACCCGCTGAAATAAGGGCAAGCGTTCATGATGGCCACCGATCATGTGAACAGTTACAATCGCACTTAACTGGTGCGACAGCGCACCGAAAAACAAAATCTAATCGGCACAATATCTGCTACAAAACATTAACGACTGCTTTAAATTTTACGACAAATACGGATAATTTCAACAAATATTTTTTCGAAGCAAAGAAAAGAAGTCCAAGCTCCGGTGACCCCCCTCCCCCATCTCGGGTGACACCAGCAGCACCACCTGTCACACACACACACCTGTACGACGATGTCCCAGGAGTAGACCGAGCGAGCGCACGTCATCAGAGTAGCGACGATCGCATCCGTAGCGAACACGTTGCCTTCCGTCTTCGCCAGCTGTGAAGAAAGGAGAGACGCATCACGTCATTTCGAACCCCAGAGAATACGCCGCATAAAAAACCATGACCAATTCTACATCAGACACGTCCACACGGACACGACTCTGTACACAAACAACTCGGCGTGAACCAAAACAGGTCGCAAACGGCACCGCCACACCCGCAGCACGACAATCGCACGGCGCGGCGATCGTGCGAGCGCAGGGAGTTCCCCCAGCCGCTGGCTACCGAAACGGGTCACAAAAACCGACGGCAACACCGCGCCCCGCTTTGCGATGTGGGGACGAGTGCACGGGGGTGCTTTGCCGGGGCCAGCTACCGAACCAGGTCACAGGTCGCAAAAGTCAACGGGCGAACGCGGGCGCCGGGACTAGCTTCGTACATGTGGCGATCGCGCGACAAACTGGGGGACTTTCCGCAGCCGGCAATCGCGTGACATGGCGATCACGGGAACGGGGGACTTTCCGCGGCCGGCCGGCTGCCCCTACCTGTCGTATGACGGGGTCGTCGGTGGTCGTGACCTTGTGGAAGATGCGGTTGACGCGCTGCAGCTTGCGCTCTGTCCTGGTGTTCACGCGGTCGATCGGCTTGTCGTAGTACTCCAGCGAGCCACAGCACATGCTGAAACACGCACACATGGTCAGATACCTGTGAAAAAAATACACGGGGGCTCGGGGCGATTTAGCCCCCGAAATGCCAAGAGCCACAGAAATGGCAAAAAGAGCCCCTGTAAATTTGCATAGAGTTCAATGCAAACCAAATTTTAGAGTGCTATTTTCATGCACGCAAGCTTGAAAAGTAGCCCCCGAAAAATAAATTATATTTTTTTCCCTGTACAGGTACCTTACCCTAACCCTAACCCTAACACTTGGTACTCCACTGAGCCGCAGCACATACTGAAACAAACGCACGCTGTCAGCCGCGCCCATGTTACCTTACCTACAGTTACCCTAACCTTAACACATTCCCCGCGGATCCACGAGTCAGCTCGTGGGAACAATCAAAACGCATCCCCGCGGATCCACGAGTCAGCTCGTGGAAAGATTATTGGTTTTTGTTACTCTGATTTCCAACAGATGGCAGGTACCCTAGGCCTACCTACATAGAAATTAAACAGGGGCAGTCTATATATTACCCCAGTCTTACATGAACTAGAGAATACAATGCAGGGTTTCTTATACATACGAGGCACATGCAGTGGCGCACCGCCGTTGTAAAATTTAACATCGCCGTTGTAAAAATCTTCCTGTATTTACTGATAAGTATATCTTGTATCTATATACCTATAACTTATAAGTATATCAATACATCCTCTATTTGAATCCATCATGCACGTTTTTTCGCCAAACTGGCCATTACCTCCTTTGTCTAATTTTCCCTCAGAAGAAATCTTGCAATGCTTTACCGTTGATTCGAACGTGAAATTAGGAGTTTTGAGACTCAAGCTAAATTCGGGGCTAAAGTCTGTTCAACAAGGTTTGTTTACCGTTTTCCTAACGGTATATAATATAATAACTGTGTAGTATGTAAAATTTCGAGGTATTTTTGCATGTAAAAACACAAAACAAGGTTCATACCCCACACATTTACAAGCGTTGTCACATTTCTTACTGGAAAAAATAGTATACTGTCGAATGATATCATAACAAACTCGCGAAAATCCACTTGTGCGGTGGCATTTGAGATGAAAATGCACGAAATGTCCGTTTTTGCCCTGTTTTCATATCAATATATTATTATGAAAGAGAAAGATTTCCATACAATTTGAACGTGTAAGGGTGAGATAACACTCATGCAGAGTAAATGTGTCGGTTTGGTTAGCTTTCCTGCAAAGGAAACGTGGTAAATCAATAAGTGAATACGCGGTAAAAACGCGAAAGTCCCAGCGCAGGGCGGTACAGTAGGTGCATTGTTAACACCGGCAGCGTTGAACGTGTTAACACGTACTACTCCAGCTCATGCTGAAACACGCACACACGGTCAGGCGCTATCACGTTAACTTACCTACTACGCTAACCCTAGCTTCCTTGCAGGTACATTAACCCAAACCTATACGATAACCGTAACCCTTCCTTCCTTACAAGTATCTTACCCTAACCCAGAGATGCCAACACTTTTCTGAGCAAACTGTAGTGAGGATGTCTGAAATCTGTAGTCCGAGGGTCACGCAGTGACCCGAGTATACTAGGGGGGTTCGGGACATGCCCCCCCGGAAAATTGTTGATTCCGAGATGCAATTTCCTGCATTCTGGGACCCAAAATGACAATAAGTTCACACTGATATTTGCTGCTAAATACATATAGTTATTTTCAATCATGTTATATCAATGTAACCCTGAAACAAAACACTTGAAATATCATAAAAAATATTTTTTTCCGATCGTAATAAAAATCGTAGTTGTATCATGTATGCATACTGCTCGTAGTGGTCAAAATGCCAACGAAATTCCCATAAAATACGGATAAATCGTAGTGGTTGGCATCTCTGCTAAGTGCGAACCCTAACACGTAGTACTCCAGCGAGCCGCAGCACATGCTGAAACATTTTCAGGGTAGTCGGTCAGTTGAGAGAAAAGGTTTTAATTAAGCCATCTGCTATATATACGTAGTTGGTCACGTAAATGTGAATGCCTGGAGAAATGTACACGTTTTTGAATGAAAATTAGAAATTGCTAGTCAGGACTCAGGATGGCCTGTCAGGGGCGTAGCCAGGATTTTCAAAGTTGTAGGCACGACTATCTGAGCGGAGCGCCACCATCGGGTTGGCGCGGAGCGTACAAGAAAATTTTTGGTTTTACAAACCCCCCAGATGGCCGGAAAC